CTCAAAGGACTGGCTAGCTCCACTATTCTCTGAAACAAAACCTTTGAGTTTACTCTGTCTTAATTGAACTTGTTCTCCTTCGGACACAACCCAAAGATTGACATCAACTTTGTCCACTGCCTGAAAGACGGTGTTTGATGGAACGTTTTTTAAAACTTTTAAAAAACGTTTCATACAAATCGATGAAGACTTAGCAGTGACTGCTAAATCTTCATCGCCTGTCTTGTGCTGACTTGTTCCACCACAAAAACTAGATTCCATAAGGTCGGAAAGAGCTTGAGCTCGTCCTTTCTCAGCAACAAATAAGGCTTCATCTATATCACCTTGTTCTAGGAGAACTCTGCACAAACCCGTATACGCCCTTTGATACTGAGTTCGAAAATTAATCTTCCACTCATCTTTAGATTTTAGAAGTACTCTCAAGGAATTGAATAAGTTTATGCTAGCTTGGTAATGTTCAACGGCTTTTGGCAGTCCGCCCTGCAACTCAGAAACGCATCCTAATGAACAGTAGGCCATTGCCTCCAAGTATTTGTCTTCGACCCCTTGAGCAATTTTAAGCGCTAGGTTGTATGACTCGTTAGCCTTTATCAAATCTCCCTCAGTTTCATACATACGACCAATATTACCGTAGGCTTTACCCTCCCCATGCTTGTCTCCTACTTCTTTAACTATTTTAAGATGTAGCTTGTAATACTCTATGGCTTTTTTGAAATCACTCAGACGTCGATAAGCATTGCCAAGATTGCCATGAGCATTACCCTCCCCATGCTTGTCTCCTACTTCTTTAGCTATTTTAAGATGTAGGTTGTGGTACTTTATGGCTTTTTTGAAATCACCCTGACTAAAATAAGCATTGCCAAGATTGCTATAAGCAACACCCTCCCCATGCTTGTCTCCTACTTCTTTAGCTATTTTAAGATGTGGGTTGTGGTACTCTATGGCTTTTTTGAAATCACCTAGACGTAAATAAGCATTGCCAAGATTGCCATAAGCAGTACCCTCCCCATGCTTGTCTCCTACTTCTCTAGCTATTTTAAGATGTAGGTTGTGGTACTCTATGGCTTTTTTGAAATCACCCAGGCTAAAATAAGCATTGCCAAGATTGCCATAAGCACTACCCTCCCCATGCTTGTCTCCTACTTCTTTAGCTATTTTAAGATCTAGGTTGTGGTACTTTATGGCTCTTTTGAAATCACCCAGACGGCCATAAGCATTGCCAAGATTGCCATAAGCACTACCCTCCCCATGCTTGTCTCCTATTTCTTTAGCGATTCTTAGATGTAGGTTGTGGTACTCTATGGCTTTTTTTAAATCACCTAGACTACAATAAGCATTGCCAAGATTGCCATAAGCACTACCCTCCCCATGCTTGTCTCCTACTTCTTTAGCTATTTTAAGATGTAGGTTGTGGTACTCTATGGCTTTTTTTAAATCACCCAGACTAAAATAAGCATTGCCAAGATTGCCATAAGCACCACCCTCCCTATGCTTGTCTCCTACTTCTTTAGCTATTTTAAGATGTAGGTTGTGGTACTCTATGGCTTTTTTGAAATCACCCAGATGGTGAAAAGCATTGCCAAGATTGCCATAAGCAACACCCTCCCCATGCTTGTCTCCTACTTCTTTAGCTATTTTAAGACGTAGGTTGTGGTACTCTATGGCTTTTTTGAAATCACCCAGACTAAAATAAACATTGCCAAGATTGCCATAAGCAACACCCTCCCCATGCTTGTCTCCTACTTCTTTAGCTATTTTAAGATCTAGGTTGTGGTACTCTATGGCTTTTTTGAAATCACCCAGACTAAAATAAGCATTGCCAAGATTGCCATAAGCACTACCCTCCCCATGCTTGTCTCCTACTTCTTTAGCTATTTTAAGATGTAGATTGTGGTACTCTATGGCTTTTTTGAAATCACCCAGACGACAATAAGCATTGCCAAGATTGCCATAAGCACCACCCTCCCCATGCTTGTCTCCTACTTCTTTAGCTATTTTTAGAGGTAGGTTGTGGTGCTCTATGGCTTTTTTTAAATCACCCAGACTGTCATAAGCATTGCCAAGATTGCCATAAGCAACACCCTCCCCATGCTTATCTCCTACTTCTTTAGCTATTCTTAGATGTAGGTTGTGGTACTCTATGGCTTTTTTGAAATCACTCAGACGAAAATAAGCATTGCCAAGATTGCTATAAGCACCACCCTCCCCATGCTTGTCTCCTACTTCTTTAGCTATTTTAAGATGTAGGTTGTGGTACTCTATGGCTTTTTTGAAATCACCCAGACTAAAATAAGCATTGCCAAGATTGTCATAAGCAACACCCTCCCCATGCTTATCTCCTACTTCTTTAGCTATTTTAAGATGTAGGTTGTGGTACTCTATGGCTTTTTTGAAATCACTCAGACGGCGATAAGCATTGCCAAGATTGCCATAAGCACCACCCTCCCCATGCTTGTCTCCTACTTCTTTAGCCATTTTAAGATGTAGATTGTGGTACTCTATGGCTTTTTTTAAATCACCCAGACGGCGATAAGCATTGCCAAGATTGCCATAAGCACCACCCTCCCCATGCTTGTCTCCTACTTCTTTAGCTATTTTAAGTAGGTTGAGGTACTTTATGGCTTCTTCTTCCCGATTATAGAGGTGTTTGACTTTCTTGACATCACCTGAACTTGCACTATCATGGTTATGACTAATAGGATCTTTCTCCTCCATGGACTTTTCTCCCACTTCTCTGACAGACTGAAGTCTTAATGACAACAAGATCCTATTGTTTTTATCAATCTTATTTATGTTAAGGGTTAAAAAGGTGGACAAAACGAGAATATTAATTTTGTCATCATATTGGTATGTAATAGTCCATTTTTACAGTTGCGTGCTTGGTTGTAAAGCCTCTGAACAAGAGTGATGGCTAAGGGTGACCTTGTTATGATAAAAACATTGTTGCTTTTCAAATGCAAATTACTTTGATATTATTGTCACTAAATACTGGTCTCTATCACAACAAGGTCACCTATGGCCTCACTCCAAATCAAAGGCTTGGCAACTAGGTACACAAAATGGTCTATTAGAAGGGCTTGTGTGAAAGGTAGATGTTGTATAAACATTCAGTCGGTTATGAAGTAAATCTACACTGAAAAATTTTTTTTCTACGTGCAGCCTCAAAATTTAACGCGAAATATCTAGATTTAATCCCTGGTTTCCAAAAACTGGGGAGCAGTGCTGCTCAATTTTTAAATTAATATAGCTTTAACATCAGACAAATGTTTTACAGCAGTGGAAAAACAAGTGAACAACACAAATAAGTGCCTTTAAAAGTTGTATTTGTTCATAGGAAAACATGACGAAAGTTTCCAGGTCTCTAAGTAGTTGAAAAGGCTAAATTGAAGAAAATCTGCATAGGATATGTAAACATTACCAAGCTTTTTGTTCTGGCTTGTTTTAGAGAGATCTGATCTACCCACGTACTATGTATAAATTGGGTGAATATTTGACTTTTAACCCTTTAACTCCCATGAGTGACCACGAGAGCAATACAATATCATCAGATAAGTGGTCAGAGTAAGGAAAAATATCAATTTGGAATAATTATTTGATCCAATACTGAATTCTCTGAACTAACAGTACAAGAATTGTACAATTGACAGTTAGGATAATTAAAAATTTGGTCTGTGAATTAAAGGGTTATCTAAACTAATGTACCAGTTATTGGCATGGATAGTAGAACTATGTCAAATTGGCTAAAAGGAGTAATATCATTGATAAGCCACAAGGTAATAACTTTTCCCATGTTTTTTCTTCGTATTTTCTCCCTTAAAACATCAAATTATGGAAACTTTTTCCATTATACCCATGGTTAAAAATGAAGGATTCCTTCAAAGGATACAGCTAGTCCCTTATCACACCAAGTGATTGCTTCTTCAAATCTCTTCAATTCAACACAAGCAATGGTTCCTATGGGCAACAATGTAAAGAAGCGATATATTATTGCAGTAGCTCAATTCTGAAAAAAGAGCCTGAAACCATTGAAATCATTACAGGCCAGAAGAAAAAAAAATGACAAAACAAAACAAAGCAAAAATACTTAATGGAAAAGAATAAACAGGCCCTATCAGGTTTCAGTTAGATTTATTTAGCTTTTAAGACAACTGAAACTTCTAAGAACATTTAAATTGGGACCGACAATTCCTTAGCTAAAGAGTTAGGTAAGTCCTGATCCTTACTTCTTTTTAAAACAGCTAGATAGTGAATTAACATATCTGACACCTGTGACTACCTCACTAAGTGAGCTTAAGGAACTAAAATACATGTGCTGAAATTTTGCTTTGCGTTCTGCATTGAGTTCTTCATCCAGCTCAAAATAATATTCTCATCATAATTAATGGAAAGTAGTTGCGTAGCAGTCAAGAGCTGGATTCAAATGTACATCAGGGTGGTCTTGACCTCTTAATTAAAGTCAATTGAGACAAGACTGAGCTTCATCTAATCTCATTTAACCTTAGAGTGTTGAGTTATTCTTTTATAATTATTATTATTATTATTATTATATATTATTATTATTATAGCACAGCTAACATATCTAACCTCTCACAATTGCCTTAAGGAAAGTTGGATTTAATTCAATGGCTGCTTCTGCATCCCTTAGTGAATCCTGGTGATTTCCTGTTATCAAAATAAATATCTCTGATTAGCCATACATGTAGCAAACCAACCACCACTCTATTACAATAATTTCGGGAAAAATTTGTGATGCTCACTGATATCTGGGGTAAGAGGTTACTTCTTTGTATATTTGCGAGGCAAATTAAGATAAGATGTATATTTTTCTGGGCATGCATTAAAAATTATCACCTATCTCAGAAAACTACTGATGACAACTCAATAGCTTCAAAAGAAAAAAAAATGCATATTAAAGCCCTCATCATCTTACCAAGTTTAAAATGTGCAATAGCCCTGTTGTTGTGCAGTTTGGCCTTCAGTTCTTTCTCATTGCAGTTCATTTTAATTCCTTTGGTGTAAAAATGAATAGCATTGATGAAATCTCCTTTCTTGAAGGCCTCATTACCCTGATTCCTATAAACATCAGCTATGGCTGCAAAGAAAAAATAAAAAATAATTTGTGTCAAAGTCTGTGATTATAGTCAATAATTATCTGTGGTTGTAGTTAATTAGTGTATGAGCAGAGCTGCTAAGATCTGGAGATTTAAAATCTGAAGATTTTTCCTTTTGTGCCAGCTGCCACTTTTGCACCTGCCTGACTTGACCCATCCCCTGAAAAGCTTAGAGGATGTGTGCAGACCCCCCCCCCACCCCCTTCACAGGACACACCTCATTCAGTAAATTCATGAGAGATTTTTTGGTTGAAAGCTCAACCAATCAGACTCAGTTGCTGTTGTGGTTGTTGTTTGGAAGAAAGTGTAATCCCTACTTTGAAACAATCTAAGTGCAATCCACATCTCCTTACATTCTTGAAACTGGTGGAATAGAAAACGTTTTAACAGTGACTGAAGCCAAAGTTGAACCTAGCTCACCTTGTAAAGTGTCCTTGTCAAAATCTGGAGCATTTTCTTTGTCAGGTAAGTCTTCATTTTCAGATGGAACCTTAATTGGACTTCTTTCTTTAGCCATAGCAACTGTAAGGGGATGCTTCTTACAAAAAGTTGCTGTTTTAAGTCATCCTGGCATGAAAAAAAGATGGTTGCAAATGGTAAAAAAATTAGCTAAACATATTACCCAATTGTAAACTAAATATTTTTTCCCCTCTGAGAATGGGAGGGATACATAGACACAAAATCACAAGCAATTAATATTAATAGGATATTTAAAGCAGTAAAAGAACAAAAGATATATATATAATGAAGAAAACAAACATTAATATTTAAATGAACAGTAATTCTCTTCTCATTGCAATAAATTTCAAGATTTACTAAAGACATTCCCAATTGACTGAAATAACTTGGGAAACAATCAACATCTGTGTGTTTGAAGTTCATATAATTGTTAACAGCAAAAATTTAAATCATTTAAACTAAGAGGTGGTATAGGTAGTTAGGTTGTGTCTGGATATGAACAGTGGTCCATCCAGGACCTGAGCTTTTATTAATCCTGGCTTCCTCACATGAAGCAACTGGGAGTATTATACCCAGCCCTGGACGGGATGCAAGTCCATTCCACTGTTATTCCCTCCCCCCCTTTCACCCCCCTAACATTTTATCAGGTTTCCCTAACTAATTTTTGCTAGCCATTTATATATGTACTCCTGGCTGGAGACAGACACTGTAAGAGTAAAGTGTTTTGCACAAGAACACAACACATTGACTGGAACCCAGACCTCTTGACCCTGTCAGTCCAGCACAGACCAGGTTACAAATGCAGACCTCCTGACCCTAAGTCCACCTCACTTAAATCATAAGACCACCATGTCTCCACAAGAGGAGAGAGTTTATGCTGAATTCTTTCTCATAAGAAACAAATTTTACAACACCAAAGAAAAATTATCTCATCTGATTTTTAAATAGGGATTACTGGTCAAAACTTATGAAAGATATATTTCTTGAATTCAATTTCTTACTGTTGAGCTGACACCCATATTCGTATAGGTGAGGGTTAGTTCAACTGTTACACTTATTGCTGGAAAAGCAGTGAAATATATACATTTATGCATGCTGATGTGTGTTGAAATGGATTTCAATTTGGTACAGTTGAAGAAATTTGTGGTTTACTGGTATACATATATATCTCACTGATTGTTTTTGTATTCATTTCATGTTTACATTGTTTTGTGCACAAAATTGATTTGTCTTTGATGCTAACTTTAATTCTCCTAATAATCAAGATGGCTTGTTTTTTAAATATCAAATAATCCTTACTGGCTGTCTTCATGTAAAAATAAATTCAATAAAACCTAGAATAACAAGGAAATCAATTGTACTGGAATTTAAAATAGCCAGAGATACATATACAGTGTAGATTATTTTTACAAAAGCCAGTACTACCTTCTAAGTAACCAGTTAAGCACCAGGGCTTTAATTTACTGGGGAATATTGGCCCAAGGTTGTGGCAGTATAGAAATGGCATAGTACCATATATTCCCCAGTACAGCTCAAGAAAGCAAAGTAATTGTCATGCACTAATGTCACTTGGACTAAACTAGTTTGCTTTGAATTTACATGTTTTATGATAGTCTGTATAGTGCGATGATGATCTAGGTGGCAAAATCCTGACCAAGTAAGAACCAATCAGAACTTTTTATTTACCCCAAGCCTAGCCACATGATAACATAAATTATCACCAGACACATACTTGGATGCGTGCTGCCACATGCAGAACTAAACCAGTTTTGATGTGATCATTGATTGATCATATATTGATTAGAAGATGACGAAAGGTAAAACTTTACTCAGATACCAATCAATCATTACCAGCTGATGAATTGGACTCCTAAAACTTGAATGTAGTTAATATAAAGGACGCTTCCAATAAATCACTAGCTGGCATTTGAAGAAAAATCAACTTGTCTAAATATTTAACAAGGAAATCTGTATAACAGTACAGTTTGGAAGGACAATCTAAGCAGTCTATCCTAAGGAAAAAATTACTCTCAAACTATAAAATTATAAACATAAACACATGAAATAAGCTGTAAATGTTTATCGCTTTTTAATTAAATGCATCTTAAATACGGAAGGAATTTGAGTTAACACGTAATCCAGACATGAAAGCTAGCGCAAAACACTTTCGTGCGTATCACGTGCACATGAAACGCAAACGAAACTGAAAGTGTTTCGATCATCCGCGCTTGCACTAAATCAAATCGGTAATTTGGAGATTCCTTTTAACTCTCTCAAATTATTTTTTTTAGATGTAAATGCCAGGTATTGGCTGAGAATTTTTGTGAATTCGACAGTTGTAACATGTTCGTGTAAGCTCAGCTCAATTAGCTTACAAGTAACACTAATACACGCCAGAATCGAATAAAAGTTGGCAATCCTCGTCATTTAACTGCAGAAACGTCTTACATTGCCGGAAATCAGGGAAAATTAGGACAGATTGAGAACATTTGAAGGAGAAATTGTTAACTGAGAAACTCCAAATAAAAGTATTTACCTTACATTCACAAATCTGATTCAACCATGCGTTCTTACTTCTGTCGCGGAAATGGAAGGCACGTTTGACTGATTAACGACCTTGCTTCCTCAATCCATCATGGAAATGTTTCAAAGTAAGTCACCAAGACTGAGAAAGTACCAAGAAAGACTCGAAAGCTCTGTTGTAGAGCGAAGAATCTCAATGGCGAGTTGCGAAAATGAAAGGGGAGTCCCCTGGCCCATAACTCTGTGCAAGCTTGAAGCCGGAAGTGCCCACTCAACGTGTTTATTTACATAAAAATTAAATATTTCTCGCACGAGCGGCAAGTCACCCAAATTTGTTTTCACTCCTACTTTCATATTTTGTAACCCAATATGTTCTAATAATTGTAGTGTAGTTTTTTTGTAAAAATTTGTTTTAGTTTTCGAGAATTAATTTCTTTCATTCGACCGCTCAAATATGCAAATTTTCACCGTGAATATTACCCGAGTTGTGTGACCTCATGTAGCGAATGTATTAGACCTACGGTATTTCTGTGAACATAATTCTTTGTTTTATCATCTAAACTTAATCTCCTGTCGTTATTGAAGCTGGAAAAGAAATATTTATTTTTTGGTGAATATTTTTGTCCGACATACTTTTCCTATGTCGAAAAGTGGTATCAAAACAAAGACAGTTTTAACAATGACCGATATGACAGAATCTACTGAGCTTCGAGCTTTTTAAAGACAAAAGGAAGGTTATAAAGTTACTGTAAAAATTTCCTTGTGTATTTGTGTTGTTCTATCCTGAGACGAACTCAAAGTCCGGCAAAATTTACTTGATGGCGTCTGTGAAATATATATAGTGCACCTACTTATCGCCGCCGTTAGCTGGCATTAATCACTACAATTTGCAAAAAAATCTAACATAACACTCTTACCTTGTTTATTTAAGATTTTATTAGCTGTTTCGATGATCACGTTAATTATGCCCTACCACATTCTGGCCAGATTTGAGTTCCAGTTTATATATCTTCTCTATCTTATTGTATCAGTTGCGTGACAAGCGTGACACAGAGATTCAAACATGAATCAACCTCCGAAATACCAAGAGATGGGTTTTTTTTCCTCTTCGTGGTTCCAATAGCAGATGTAGGGTGCCAAAAGAAATGTCCAGCCATGGTAAAGGTAGGGTTAAGTCGATTCCAAAAGCTGATAGGGAAATTGGCAAGCGTGTATCACAGATAGTACTCAAGATGTCCGGACATTTTAGTTTTCTGAGTGCAGTAATTCCTGAAAGGTTTTTCTAGATGTCATGTTTTTTTCCTCTTTGTGATTCCAATTGCAGATGTAGGGTGCCAAAAGAAATGTCCGGCCATGGTAAAGGTAGGGTTAAGTCGATTCCAAAAGCTGATAGGGGAATTGGCAAGCGTGTATCACAGATAGTACTCAAGATGTCTGGAAAATTCATACAATCTGGCTTCGGTAAGTAGGTTACTTACCACCGTGAGCAAAATTACTCGTGACGTCAGACTTAAGTTTCGATTGGGAATTGGTCAATAGGCTACCAAAAATTCAGACAGAGGCGGAGGTTTCTGAACTAATGTTTGAACACTTTGTTGGCTTTCCGCCGTCTGGGGGGAGGCGTAATTATGCACACGGTAGACGCTGACAAAACTTGTTTCTCTTCGCCAAAAATCACATCAGAATTTGTCCTTGCTAAATGTCAAGTGTGCTGCACGTATCAGCACCCTCGGGGTACCCTTTACATAAGAGGGCGGGGGTGCGCGCCTGGAATTTCGAAAACGACCGCTATAGAATTATAAAAGGTACTCAAGTCTTATCCGTGTGGCAGTGGCAACAATTAGCCTGTAAAAACAAGTCTTTATGTCCTTTTATGTTTTTTTCAATGCTTCCCTCGCTCCTACAGA